AGTCTTAAGCATCTGCCTTCGGCTCAGGTCATGATCCCAGGGTCCTGAGATCAAGCCCCGCATCGGGCTCCCTGCTCAGCGGGAAGCCTGCTTCTCCCTCTCCCACTCCCCCTGCTTGTGTTCCCTCTCTCGCTGTGTCTCTCCTCTGTCAAATAAATAAAATCTTTAAAAAATAAAATAAATAAATCTTGGGGCACCTAGGTGGCTCAGTCGGTTGTGTGTCTGCCTTTGGCTCAGGTCATGATCTCAGGGTCCTAGGATCAAGCCCCAAGTCACGCCCTCTGCTCAGCGGGAGCCTGCTTCTCCCTCTCCCTGCTACTCCCCCTGCTTGTGCTCTCTCTCTCTGTCAAATAAATAAAATCTGAAAAAAAAGGAAAAAAAACCTTTTAAAATTTTTAAAAAAATCTTTAATTAAAAAAAGTGCAAAGTGATATAATGATTTTATTAACTTACTCTACCTCGTCACCACTTATCTTTATTACAACATTTAGAAAGATTCAATGAAGTCTAGATGAGCAGATATAATAGTCCACTATCTTACTGAATTGATTTTCTAAGGGCTGGAGTTCAGGAGTCTAACAAATCACTATTTCTTAGTATAGTCTTAACTCATGACTCTCAATATAACCACGAAGATAAAATGAACTGAGAATTTAAGGCCCAGAACCTGCAGCGTAGCTCCAGGTATGGGTTGGGTATGTGGGTTGCAAAGGGAGTAAAAAATAAAGACTTCTAGGCCCCATGCAAGACCTACTGAATCATAGATAACCCTTAAAGGATGAGCCCAAGAATCTACACTTTTGACAAACACACCCAGTGGTTTTTATGCTCACTAAAGCTTAAGAATCACTACCATAAAATTTTCTTTGATCAATAACCATGATTTCAAACACCATTTCTAAAATCTACTTGTGGAAAATCTGGGCCAAATAGAATTCATCTACAATTGAGAAAGCAGCTCCTGAGAAGGTACTTAGCAGTCAACATTAAATGACTCACACTTAACTCGTAAAAATACTTCCTGTGGCACCAACCTCTTTATTCCAAACTTTCACATTAAACGAAGCTAAAAAAAAAAAAAAAAAAAAAGAATGCCCATGAGATATTCCTAAGTTATTATATTAAAATGAACTCCCAATAAACAAATTTATATGTATATATGTGTGTGTGTGTGTGTGTATGTATATATAGAAAGAGAGAGAACTTTAATTTTTCTTATGGTTTAACTTTAACAAGGGAACCACTTCTCAGCCTTTTGGCTAAGATCAAGTGTAAGTTTAACAAGGGAAAGTTGATGGGTATATTATCTTGAAACTATGAAGAGGGAAAGCATATACTCTACCCAGGACAAATATATCATGATTTTAAATGCTTGCAAGCCAATCTTAGGGGTCCATGCTTATTAAAGACCACACTACCCAAAACTATCACCATTTCCACCAAAGAGATAAACTAGTCAATAGATAAGCCTAATCCCTTAAAAATAAAGATGGTATCACAACTGTAACCCTCGTAAGGGCACCTCTCAAGAAATCAATCAAGAGCCCTTAGAAATACTTTAACCTTTAAGAAAATTAACCTGAAGTCAAATGTTACTTCACATACTATATAATTAGTGCAAAGACATATGTATTTTGGTTCTACTTATTGAAAGCATCCCTCCAGGTATATACACATCAAAGGGAAACATTCAATATACGTTACACTGGGAAAAATTACAAGGTGGAGACTAACACTGCTAGTACAAAACTTTCCATCTGCAGTAAAATTTAGAGTCCAGAGGGCTTGTTCATATCCTACTACCAAGCCCTGCAATGTGACTCTTTCCAAACCAGTTAGTATCTAGTCAGTTCTGAAGGGAGAAAGGACAAACTGAACCATACTGAATTTAGTTTAATGACTGTTCTAAGATTCAATGAGGACAGGGCCTTTATAAGGCAGACTTTAAAAGAAATACAAAGAAATCAATGCTCTTACTTTTGTCCACGCTTTTAATCCCTTAAATCTCAAAGTTACTCGGTTCTTTTCACAACTCAATCAGTTATCCAAATGACTACAATATATGAAAATTGGAATAATTTGTGTATAACACGAAAGCATCTAAAATAGGGACAAGTCTTATTAAACAGCAATCATCAAGGTCCAGACATCTACCTATGACTTCATGTAAACTATGCCTACACAATAATAATCTACCTATGCCCAACCCTGATCCCACTTGGCACTTCAATAACATGCAAAACTTTCCTGGGACAGTAGAGACGTTAACTTAAGGAACTTGTAGGAGACAAAGAAAAGCCCTAAGGAGTACTGCCTAAAGAATGCTTTAGAAAAATTTGCATCAACCTAACCAAAATCAAAACAAGTAACAGACACAGATATCCCTCAAGAATCATGTCTGTTTGGTCACTGATTTCCTCCTCTCACTTGAAAACCTAAGGAGAAGATGCAGACTTTGGAAGAAGGAAAGAGACCGTATAGCTGAAGTCTCAGAGAATTTGCCAACTTGCTTGACTCTGTGTTGCAACTATCACCATTTCCACAGTAACAGCAAAGAAGCTTCACAGAATTTGGAAATCAAAATACAGCTGGAAGGTGAGAAACCATTGCCACAAAGAAACCATTGCCACGAAGAAGTCTCATCATCACAACCTTCTAGAGTAAGGTTCTCTAAGCAAAGAGCATCCTTTTGTCCTGCCCACTTTGTCTTTTTTAAGACAGTCTCTACTCACCACCAAGTATGCGCCAAAGTTCAATGATTTCTCTCTAGAAGGAGGAATGGGCCTAGACTGGTACATGGACCTGAGGCAAGTCCCTCCATCTGTCCTAGGGGATCATCTAAAGTCTCCCTTACAGTACCTAATTTATGTCTAGACTCTGTTACAAAATCATAATAAAGGCAAGAAGCTACCAACTATGTTAGCTGATATATATACATATATATTTGAAATGACTGATCATGTTAGTTGTGGTCATCTACAGAATTATTTTTGGTTTAGTTCCTTTAGCTCTTACAAAAAGTAAATTACTTAGAACTTTATGATAAATTTACAATTTTAAATAAATACTTCAATTTTAAATTTAAAAATAAACAGCTGGATCCAAAGTTAACTTCCAAAGGGAAAGGAAAATGACAATTCCAAGAGCTTCTATCAGAAGGAAACATCAGCCACAGATTTTGAGTTATCTAGAAAGCGTTCTACATCTGAATGCCCTGGCCCCCAAAGATTAAGAATGTATTACCAGAGAATAAGAAAAGAGCACGTAGAACATTAACGGAAAAAGCATAAATGGAAGGTTTAATAGCTCCAAACAGTTACTTTGGTGAGCTACTCTTTCTTCAGGTGGAAGGTAAGAGGAAACAGAATGAGTGAATTCCACAGAGTAAGAGTGTCAAGGATAAGGGCAGGGGGCATAAGGTAAATAAAAAGGGAGGGACTCCTCTATAGGCCAGACCTCAAGATACTAATCTCTTTGAAACCTTGGGCAAACCTACTGTTTTACTAGAGGAGTAACTGAAGGTTGTGGAAATTATAACTAAAATAACATTTATAAAAAATGAGAGAGACTTCATGAGGGCAAATCCAAGCACTGAGGGAGAGGGCAAAAGTGTGAAAAAATAAGGGTTCAGTAGAAAAGCAAGAGATACAGGATTGAAGGCTGCTGGGGAGAATGGAGGTAATGAGACATTATGCCACCTACCAGTCAACCAGCAATCACTATATAAATTTTAATACAAAGTACAAAGCCACCAAGGTAAAACCTGGATGAGAGTGGTGGAGGAGGTCTGCAGAGAAACTGCAAACCAAGGCAGCATGCTGCTAGAGCTTTAAGGGATGCAGTGGGGAAGTAAGGATGAAGGAGTATGAAGGGGGAGGGGCTGCAGTAGGGAAGAGGATGGGTTGCAGCAGCAGCAGGAGCCTAAAAAGAGAAGGGAAAGCAGTCTGGAGGAGATAAAGAACAGGATAAAGTTGAGCATGGGATCACAAGAGGATAGAGTAAGAGAGAGAATGGAAAGGGCATGCCCCGTAAAAGCAAGGAGGTCAAAGACCCAAAAGAGGGGTATATTTTGGGGGGGGAGGAGCAGGAACGAAAGAGAGCTCCACCATAATCCTGACTAAAAAGAAGTAGGAGTATGGTGCAGAAGTCAAGACCAGAATAGGGGGGCCAGAATAGGGATGCTCTCAGAGGGATGTGAAGATGGGAGACACCAGATTCAAAATCCTGGTGTAATACGGGACAACAGTGTAAAGAAAGTACAGTGTCCAAGACACCCTCCCCCACCACCAAAACAAAACAAAAACAAAGGCTTGCAAGCAAGCAAGGGTCAGAGAAGAAGATACACTCTAGGGAGAAAGAATCCAAAAGGGAGGGGAGGAAAGGCACACAAGGCAGGATAGAAAAATGCAGGGGGTGCTTAACCGCAGGAGAGGGTAACTAAGGAAAGCAAAAGGAGTGCAGTGGAGGGATGATTATTCCCGGAGGAAAAGTGGGAGCCGATCACAGGTCCTACCTACTTGGTCTAGAGGACAGAGGGACGGTCCATGGGGGTTGACGGCAGCGGTGGAGAACAAGAAACTACGATGCTAAAGATGAGAACTTGGGGAGGACGCGACAGGGGCCGGGTCAGAAAAGGAGATGCTGTCAGCGAGGGGCAGAAGTCCAGCAAGGGGCAGAAAGCGGCATGCCCGGGGGTAAAGCAAAAGGGCAGAAAAGAAGGCAGAAGAATGGGGGCAGGGGTAAAAACAGCGGGGCGCAGGGACGTAAACCGGTTACCGGGAGGGAGGTGCGGGTCGCGAAAACCCAGGGCGCAGGGAGGTGAAAGGGTCAGCCCCAAGGAGGTGCGGGGCCTGAGGGGAACGGAGTCCCGAGTGCCGGTTCAGGGGCTGGAGGGGGGGAGGGGGGACGGTGCGGCCTGAGGGCGACAGGGGTAGAGGGAGATGCGGGGACGGCCGGAGGGGGCGGGGCAGGGTGGGGCGGCGGGCAGCCCAGATACTCACACCTCCAGGATGCGGTCCCCCTTGCGCACCCCGGCCCGGTCGGCCGCCCCCCCGGGCAGCACGGCGCTCACATGCTGCAGCGGCGCGTACAGCTCCCCGTTGATGCTCCGCAGTTGCCCGCCCTCGCTCACTTGGCCCCGCACGTTGAAGCCGTAACCGGACTCGGACTTGACGATGCGCACGACCCGCGGGCCGCCGCCTCCCCCTCCGCCGTTCCCGGCGCAGTGGAGCCCGGACCCCCCACCGCCGCCGCCACCTCCGTTTCTGTGAGGAGCTGAGGGGTGAATCCCTTCCCCGTCCTCGTCCGCCATCTTGCAAGCGAGCGAGCCGTACCCCCGCCCCGCTACGCCTCCACTCCTTCCTCGCGCGCGCTCGCCCTGCTTAGCAGCCGCACGACCCCCAGCGCGCGCGCCCGCTCCGCCGCCCGCGGGACCCGAGTCGGTCACAGAGCTGCCGGAGGAGGGTAAAGGGAAGGCCGGGGGCGGGGGGAAAACGGGCGGTTGGACCCCGTGGAGCCTCCTGGGAGTTGTAGTTTCTGGAGGGTGGGGGCGGAGGAGAGGGCAGAGTCCCGGCCTGAGCGGAGGTTATGTGACGCAGTTGGGTAACAAAGCCTGCCGGGAGTTGTAGTTTGAGGTTCTAACCCAGCACAGAGTGCGGCGGAGTGATTCAGCTGTTGACGTGGGGCAAGTTTTTTCTTTCATTCCATAACTCATTTCGTAGCCTCTAAAGCAATAATATTAGGACAAATTGACGTTTGTGACCTTAAATTATAACAACTCATTTGTTCAGTACCTTCTGTGTTCGCATACATTATTTTATTCCGTGGCCCCAGCAACCTTGTGAGCTGACTGGATCATGAATTCCTTTCTCTATTTCACTTATTTGGAAACTGAACCGTAGAGAGCCCAAAGTCAACCAGCTCTTAGGTAACAGGAAGTAAGGCCCGGTTATTTTTTCGCAACTTTCATGTATTGCAACTACATAAAAACTATGCTCCAAATATACAAAAAGCGTATGCAGAGAAAACTATGGTCTCAGCGATTTAGAACTGGATATTAGAAGGGCCAAATAAGAATTTAAATCTGGCAATGATTTTGAAGTTACCTTTATTTCTAATTTATTTTGTTTTCCCCAACAGCACGGTAGAATTCTTTGCCAATGGCAGCAGTTGATGTTTTTCGGCTACCTACCCAAATGCACATTCACAGATAGTGTGCAGAATGCCTGGCAAAGGCAAGAAAGAAGAGCAAGAGCAAAAATAATGAAAATAGCTTACTTAAGCACTTAGTACTCGTATTTTATTTTACCCTACTGACTGGCTAGTAAGTTAGTCTGTTACTGTTTTGTGGATGCTGACAAAAAGACACAGAATTCCTGGATTGGAGACAAAGGACTATTACAACACAGGAAACAACATGAGCTTCAGCACGTTTGTGTCAATTCCTCTTCCCCCAAGTCTTAAGGGGATGACAAGAAGGGCTCACATGAATGCTCTGCACTTACTTGGTGGATTTACACCACAGCTGAGGGAACACTGAGTTTGGGAAACCTGCCATTTTATAGGAAGCAGTGAGCAAACCTGTTCTCTGTCCTGGAGGGAGACATTACTTCATTCCTTAAAGTTGCTCACTATAAACACAACCTTGAGAATTGACCCTGGTAAAGAGCAGTCAGGGTCTTGCATTTTTGGCATACCCAGGAAGATGGGTAGAAGCATGACGGACCCATGAGGGACTGTTTCTCTCAACATTACCATGTGCCAAACACTAAGCACTTTACATCTATAATTTTATTTAATCTTCACAATCCTATAATGTGCCCTACTTTATAGATGAATAAACAGGCATAGAGAAGCCACACAGCTAGTAAACAATCCAGGAGGAGCAACAGGGATTCATAGTTTAAAAAAGACAGTAAAAGTGGGGCACCTGGGTGGTTCAGTCGGTTGAGTGTCTCACTCTGGATTTCAGCTGGGGTCATGATCTCGAGGTCTTTCAATTGAGCCTCAGGTTGGGCTCCACGCTCAGTGCAGAGTCCTCTTCAGATTCTCTCTCCCTCTCTTTCTGCCCCCCGCCCCACACTCTCTCTCTCCACTAAATAAATAAAATCTAAACAACAACAACAAAAAAGACCGTAAAAGTTACCTTGCAGAGAGAGGTCTGATGACTTATAAAAGCAACAAGCATGGCGCCTGGGTGGCTCAGGCGTTAAGCATCTGCCTTCGGCTCAGGTCATGATCCCAGGGTCCTGGGATCCAGCCCGGCATCAGGCTCCCTGCTCAGCGGGAAGCCTGCTTCTCCCTCTCCCGCTCCCCCCTGCTTGTGTTCCCTCTCTCATTGTCTCTCTCTCTGTCAAATAAATAATCTTTTAAAAAATAAATAAATAAAATAAAAGCAACAAGCAACCCCCTGAAAGAATTTGGGAACCATGTATGGGTTTCCAGCAATTGCTCAGGATGTGGGGGAGGAGAGTAGTAGAATAATTAAGACATCTCACAGTATGTGGGATGAGGATTCAGTTATTATATTAGAACATAAAAGTTAGTATGACCTTATTTTATAACCAACCTAATGAAGAAGGGTGTCAACTAACTGCACAAATAGGGAAAATAATACAAGTTGGAATAATAAGAATTTTGCTCTACAATAATACTCTACAATCATTTGGTTTGAACTGAGCTCTGAATGGGCAGGGATTTATCCACTAAGGACATCAAAGAAAGGAAAAAGGGAGCTTCCACTGAAAGAGCTATTTTTTTCATTTGTTTATTTGACAAAAAATGTACTGAATGCCTGCTCTGTTCTAGACTCTGCAGTGGTGGCTAGGGATACAAAGATAAATAAGATGTTATCTACAAACTCCATGAAGGGCAGTATGGCATGGTGAAACTCGCAAATGCACATACTCCTTGGTCTGGCAACTCCACTTCTAGGAATTCATTCTACTGTCACACTTGTACCTGTGTGAAGTGACATTTTTGTGAAGATAGTCATTGCAGTATTATCTGTATTTGCAAAAGACTGGAAATAACCTAATGTTCATTGATTAACTTAGGATACAACCACAATGGAAAACTGAAAATAAAGAATAAGGAAGTTCTTTACGTGCTGAAATGAAATGATCTCCTGGATACAGTACATAGTGAAAACAAGGTACAGCACAGTCTGTAGAACATGATAACATTTTTGTATAAAAGGGGAACCATAGATATGTTTTTATTTCTAGAAGTATTTATATCCCTAGAAGTATTCACAAGAAACTGATAATATTGATTGCCTCTGGGGAGGGGGACTGGACCACTGGAGTGGGGACAGCGGTTGAAAGGAGATTTTTCATTATATAGCTTTTTGTAACTTCTGAATTTTTAGACAGATGAATGTGTTACCTATTCAAAAAATAAATACATAAAATATGTAGAAAGGATCAGACTGGAAGAAAAGGTGATCAGAGAATCAAAATAAGAAACTAAAATAACACACCGTTACTGCTCTCGAGAACTCACAATCTAGAAAGAGAGCAAAAGAAAAAAACAATTACACCACAGGCTTTGGGTCTCTGGAGTAATGAGAGTTGTGATAAAGGCCTGCACAAGCTGGCAAGAGTGCCCATAGGAGGGGCCTTGAAAACGGAACAGCTAAGCTGAGTAATCATGGATGAGAAGGGCCGGCAAGGCAGAGAAGGAAGGTGTGATGGGCTATTTCTGACCAGAGGGAACAGTGCATTCAAACCCAGAGACTTGAAAGAACATGGTGTAGTGTGAGAAGTGACTGTAGTTCAGTAGGACTGGAGCAGAGGGGACAGAGGAGGTGGGCAAGAATCACATTCCCAAATATTTAGGGGCCTCTGAATGCTTTTAAGCAGAGCGGACATACTATTAAATTCGTGCTTGAGAAAGTTCATCCTGCAGGAAGTGTGGAGAACAAACTGAGCCAGGAGGATCCGCTGAGAACTAGGTGCCCTGATTCCCAGGAGAACTGACAAGAGGGAGGCGGCATGGGCCGTGGTGACGGGAGGGCCACACCGGGCAGAGAGGACTTGGCACCCCTTGGAGCTCAGGTGTGAGGGCAGGGCAGAAAAGAATGGCCTAAGAGCCCAGACTTGATGGAGTGATTTCCCAAAACCAGGCAGAAGAGGAAGAGGCTCACAGGGAGGGCAATGAGTCTAGTTCTGGGTACGAGGAAGATTTGAGGGGTCTGGGGGAGATCCAGGAGGGAAGGATGAGTCATTGGTTGGACGTGTGAGTCCGGTGCTGGGGAAGGGGTCTGGCGCGAGCATGGATTGGTGAGCGTGGGCCCTGGGTGGTGGGTGGTGGTGGAGGAGCGCACCAGGCAGAGTGGATAACAAAGTGATTAGGGTGCCAAGGCCAGAACCTGGGGAGTGCCTCCCTCCAGCCATTCAGGAGACTTCAAGAGAGACCTGGTGAGGACTGAGAAAGAGGATGACTGAGAAAGAGGACTCCAAGAGAGCAGTGTGGCCTTGGAGAGAGCGGGTCTTGGAACTTACTTAAGCTGCCTTTGGAAATGGGACCCAGAAAGTTTGCAGAGCACTTCTCACCCAAGAGCTTACAAAGTCCTCACAACATAAATAGAAGCATCCACAGTAAACTAGGCTTAGAGGCCCCAATCATTCTGCTAGTTTATAGCAGAACTGAACCATGAACCCAAATTTTCTGACACAACGGCCAGGACTCTCTTCACTACCCAGCTTCCTTTTGGTTAAAGAGAGAAAAAGGTTCTGGGGCTCCTGGGCAGCTAAATTGATTAAGCATCCCACTCTTGCTTTTGGCTCAGGTCATGATCTTAAGGTCATGAGATGGAGCCCTGCCTGGGGCTCTGTGCTCAGCCTGAGTTTGGTTAAGACTCTCCCTTTCACTCTGCTCCCCCACGCCCCCAACACCCCCCCCCACCCCCCCAAACCCCCTCCCCCCAGCTCTCTCTCAAATAAATAAATAACTTTAAAAAAAAAAGGAGGGGCACCTGGGCGGCTCAATGGGTTAAGCGTCTGACTTTGGCTCAGGTCTTGATCCTGGAGTATGCTCCCTGCTCAGCAGGGAGTCTGCTTCTCCCTCTGCCCCTCCTCCCTGCTCATTTGCTCTCTCTCTCAAATGAATAAGTAAAATCTTTAAAAAGGAAGAAAGGAAGGGAGGAAGGGAGGAAGGGAGGAAGGAAGGAAGGAAGGGGAAAAAGAAAGGAAGAAAGAGGGGCGCCTGGGTGGCTCAGTTGTTGGGCGTCTGCCTTCAGCTCGGGTCATGATCCCAGGGTCCTGGGATCAAGCCCCGCGTCGGGCTCCCTGCTCAGCGGGGAGCCTGCCTCTCCCTCTCCCTCTGCTGCTCCCCTTGCTTGTTCTCCTTCTCTCTCTCTTTTTCTCTCAAATAAATAAATAAAATATTTTTAAAAAAAAAAAGGAAGAAAGAAAGAAAAGAAGTTGCTCCCATCCTTTGTGATGTAAAAAGTCAGCAGGTTTCCATTAGGTTTTTGTGTGGGCATTAACTTAAATGAGAACCCCACC